TACACGTATTTGAATCGTACGCTCAGTGCTCATTCCTAAAGTGAAACAACCTAGTTTGGATATTTAAATTACAATAGTGTTTAAATAAGCGTTGTCACGCTTACATATCGAGCTGTTGCGACGAAAGATATTTCATAAACACGTTTCGTATCAGGCGTCGATGAAAATATACAAGAAAACTCTCGAGATCATCACCTAGGGGTCATGAAATGACAAACATTTGCGTTCACAAAAACGGTCTGTAAATACGTATTATAATGCATGTAATTGGTTAAATTGTTGTGATTTGATATTAGAATTGATGAGTGAAAAGGAGTTTAACTTTAATTGCTTGTAAGCTATCTTTTATTTCGAAAAACAGATATTAACTATCCCGTAGCATTGACGTATGTACTCACGCACAGACGTAATGCTCCGTATTCACGCTTAGTACTAAATATAAATGTGTCTTAAATAGTTGAACTAAAATTCGCTGAAAAAAAAAACAAGACAAAGTATGTTATATATAAGATATGAAATATTTCTATCTCACATATTACTGTATTTGTGATGACGGCGCTAAGCATAGACAATTCGTCTTGTCTCTCAATTGATAATGGTATATACGTCGTGTGATATTTATGTTTATAACATTATGTAATATGCGTCAGAATTAACATACCCATACCGGCGACGGTTAGCAGCATCAGAGGTGATTGCTGAGAACGCTGCACGCTGTGGGCGAAGCTCATGCCCAGAAGTAGGCTGTTATCAGCTGATAAATTCTTCTTTGAAGTCCGTTAGTGTGTCCCTGTCACCTACGAATATGACGATACCGCCAGTATATTATGATAATAATTTCAAATGTATGTGCCTTTTTATTGTTTGTGGATGGTTGTAAGTAGGGTCGCCACACGTACTATAATATATAGTATCATACTATATTTCAGTCAATTGTTTAATTTCATTTAATTAAAAATTATTTTTTATTTATCTTAATTTTAATCTAAATTGCTCAGACTCTTATAATTATTTTAAAAGTAAGGAAGAAGGTAAGGTCATTGATGGTCAAAGCAAAGAACAATAACAAATATATATGGAAAAATACATTTATATTTGTTTTGAGTACATTACACACACAGATTAAAAATAAATGTGTACTTTTTTCTTAGGAACTTCTCAAAAGTATTGTATTTTTGAATCCCTTTTGGGAAAAATACTATATTTGTTCAAAAAAAGGAATTTAAAAATATAAGCTAGAAAGGAGGGTGGCCTTTACGACATCGAATCTGCTATGATTTTGAATTGCTTGCACAGTCACTACAAATTATAGAATACTTTATCAATATCGTATTCTATGCTACAAATCGACTATGGTTTTATTTATTATCTTTTTTCGGAATGAAAAGCCATTAAAAAAATAAGAGTACCTACGAATAATGACAAAAGTCGCAAGTTTACTGTGTCAGTGTATAAAATACACCTCACATACTAGTTGTTCGCAATAAGGCTTCAGATTGACCTACTTCAGGATCTTATATATCGAATAAAAACATATTTTGTAATGGATTCCGTATTGAATCGGCATTCAAAATACGTTTTCTTCTATCGTTACGTTATCGTCTACGTTTCTATTAGCTCAGAGTTAACGATTTTTGATTTTGTTTCAATAAAATCTGTTCTAGGATTATTATCTGCCTAGAAGTCGGTCTGAGTCAATCAATCTTATAAATATATCTGCCGCAAAGTAGTATGTAGTCACTATTATTTTTATTGTTTACCATTTCGTACCCGGTGCGTTGATGCCTCGGAAGAAATAATTGTGGAAATAAAAACTTTTTAAATTTGAAAGAGTTATAATTAGGACTAATAATTTAATAATACATTCATTGAAGTTGAAAGATATATAACTTTCAAATAAATTTGTCGATGCTATTCGCGTGCGCTACATAATGTTAATTGTTGTACTATGCCTATAACCCTCGCGGAAGTGCAAGCAGTTGACAAAGTTTTACCGTAATCTGATGAACGGTATAGCAGCGCATAAAATACGAACAAATAAATATTAATTTTTATTTTTTATATATTAGAAGATAACTGCAGGTAATTTTTTACATGAAACCCTGATGTTAAATAACTAAAGAAGAACTTTTTATTCATATAAGTATGTATTTAATATAAAGTCTAAAGTAGGAATTGCCTTCTTCAGATATTTTCGAATAGGATCCAGGCACGAATAGGTTAGACCGTAAGCTAATCCGTGCCTGATGCTTATTCGTTGGGGCTTATAGGCGCTTGTAATAACATAGACTTGTAGGTAGGTAGTTCGGAACTTACCTGTAATTAATCGCCAATATTCCAATTAAAATACAGCGATGTCGGCCAGGAGGGCATTAAATTTTTAATCACTTTATTTTCATGACATGTTTAAGTAAAGCTTCTCTTTGCATTTCACTTCTCGGTGGATACACGTTTAGCTTACTAATGGAAGAGAGCTTTATTAGTCACAGAAGGATGGAAATAGAGATCATTAGAATGCATCCGTTGTTGTCGTCGGGTGGTTGATTGACGCCACTCATTAACACTCAACTAGCGGCAGGAACCGAAGAATAGGGTATGGACTGACAATTGACTACATCAGATCGAATTTAACATTCAAGATCCTTTGGTAATTTGCAGCCAATGTTGTAAGCCAAAAATAATTTATTTTTAGGAAATAGCAAAAATAACTTGAGGTTTATTTACGTAATTATGCATGTCTTTGGTAAATAAGATTTGTAATAAAGAAAAGCGGAAATTGACATACAAGGTGAAAGTTTTGTGAAACTTAAAAATGTGTTCTATGGTTAAAGGTTATCAGCGTCTATATAAATTTCTTGCGTCAGAACCAATTTTTGAAGCATTCTTTATAGTTCGCCTTACGGCCTTCGATGGCCTGCTCGTCCGCTGCTAAAGTATCTTCCAGTGATGAAACATCTCTTTTTGTAGTTTTATTTTACTTAAGAGAATAATAATAAGTCGACCGGGCTGAAAAGAAGGTGACTCAAAAACCTAACTAGTGGGCTGTCCAGGAAGCCGCTCGTTTTGAACGCTGAGTGCGCGGGCGCGTTGTCACAGTGAAGCAGTAGCCCGTGGAGTCCCGTTGTCGGTCACTCTTTGCTCACAACAGTGAACACTGGATTCGCTTCGATTTTATAAAGGAACGGAGACCAGATAACCCGTTAAAAATAAGGGTTGGCTATACATCCGGTACTTGATTTTGATAATATTTTTAGATGTCGGAAATGCGTTTTGAATTAATTTCGATAAAAACAAATTTCACTAAAAATTGTGTAATAACGAAACGCAAATATGTCAATTTGTTCTCGTATCATGAAGTAGATGTCTGGTACTTGATTTTTAATTTTGTTTTCAATTTATGAGGATTGTCAGGGTTAAGCTTGAACCATTTAGGTACAATGTTTTTGGATTTCAGAAATGCCTTTTGAATTAATCACGATAAAAATAAATTTCACTAAAAATTGCAATAACGAAACGCAAATATGTCAATTTCTTTTTTTAACACAGATAAACTCATAAAAAGTTAATCACTCGAACCCAGACAATCCATTTGTGGCTGGAGACGGGACTTATATACAACAAATTGAGTCGCAGTGGAGAGCAGTCAAGAGGTTTTTCAGAAAACAAAATTATAACAATTCACATTACATTTTTTCATTGACCACATCATAGCAGAGTTTAGGGCAACCAGAGTTTATAGATAAGATTGGTCGAATCGGTTCTAAAACCGTACGGCCGTTGCAGAAGTAACCTTTTTCATTATTCCTGTATAAAAAGTGAGGTTATATTTAAATAATACTAGTTTTTACGGATTTTATCGCGTATATTTAACTATAAATACCCGACGTTTCGAGCGCTTTACAGCACCCATGGTACGGGGGGGGGGGGACTTAGATGTTCTACGTCCAGATGTCATAGTTAACAGCGGTTACCATAGATTAAAATTTAACTTGAAAGTTAAAGTAAAGTCGGGTATTTATAGTTAAATACACGCGATAAAATCCGTAAAACCTAGTATTATTTAAATGTGTAGTGTTCGCGTAAATATAAGAAATCATTAAGTGAGGTTATAATTTTACAAAAAAATATTACTCATAAACTATACATTTCCGCAACGGAGGGAAGGCAGGGGGCTTCCCATAATCCCTCCCCCCTCCACCTCCCAACACCGTACGCGAGTACCGGACGTCTATAGTTTACCCAAAAATAAAATAAATACTGTGATCAAAATCCTTTCTGCGCTTTTCGATTGCTTTAGATTGGCAAGCAATGGTTTACTTTGACACCCTCACATCGTATAATGTACTCGAGTATTGATAAGTCCAAGACATTTATCGTCTCTAATAATGTCATAAACACACAGAGACGAGCCTGTTTCAAATTCTGTAAATCATGTTACGGCACCCAACGCGAAACTATCCTACTCACGCGATGGTGTACTTGTAAAATTTAGTGAACGTTTCTCTATCCAATCTGCAGTAGTTTTGTACTTAATATTTTAATACGTAAGTCGCCTAATCTATATTGTTACCATGTTTACTCCATTAGCAGCTGTCAAAGGTAGCCGCGCTTCTGTCTTCATCTTTCCAAGTTAGTCAACCGTGCTAAAATTTGCCGGTAACACACGATTGCCTTAAAAGGGTCTTTATTAAATAAAATCTTTATTAAATCTGCCATATTACGATGATTTATACCTCTGTACACAGACAGGTACAATGGGCATAAGTATATGTTATTTTTACTTTTTTTACAGTTGTACTCGAAAACCAGTAAATAGCGAACCGCTACGTTTTTTCGAATCAAAATAAATACTCGAAGCTTGAGGAAGCACTAGAATCGATACTGGCCTGGTGAAGATCAAGATGTAGAGTATGATGTAGTGTTATTACCGCCAGATCCTGCTATCGTAAGTGACGAAGAAGAGGCTAATGAAGACGACTTAGTTTCTTCAACACTTCCAAGGGATGTTCCAGGAACTTTGGAGGTAATTCACCGCCATCCTGATTATGACGTTTTGGACTGGAATGACAGTGACGATGAGCCCCTATCAAACACGGCTTGGACGCAGAACACTCTAGAAATAAGCGGCCTAGAAACCAACGCCAGCAGCCCGAAGTACATTGGAGGAAAACTTTACCTCAATACAGTGCTGTTTATGATGCTACAGATACATTACAAAACCGACAACAATGTATAATAGAAAGCTTAAAAGATTATAGTTCAGTTATGCTGATTGAAAAAATGTTTGATGACTGTTTTGATGACCTGATTGTACGCTGGTCAAAATAATAAGCACAATTTTGAGCTGGACATCTCTGACTTGGAAAGATTTTTGGGTATATTGATTCTTACTGGCTACCATCAACTACCATCTGAACGTGCGATGGAGTTTAGATGAAGATCTGGGCATTCAGTTAGTAGCGAGTTGCATGTCTGGAAATAGATTTACAGATATAAAGCGAATACTTACACCTTGTTGATAATTCTTTAGCAAATACACACAAAAAAAATACAACCGACAGATGTTCAAAGTGAGACCGTTGTGCGATTTGATTCACGAAACTGTCAGGCAAGAGTCTATGATAAAATATTTCGGTCGTCATTCAGCTAAACAATTTATTAGAGGAAAACCCGTAAGGTTCGGATACAAAAACTGGGTCGCAACTAGTTCAGACGGTTACTGCTATACTTTTGATATTTAATGTGGCAAATCTGCAGACGCTTCGTCAGATAGTCTTGGCGCAAGAGTGGTACAAATTTTACTCGAAAAAATGCCCATATAAGATAGTAAAGAACATATCGTTTATTTTTATAACTTTTTCACGAATTACCAATTACCGCATGATTTGCGTCTTCAAAGAACTAGAGCGACTGGTACAATTCGTGATAATAGAACAAAAAAACTTCTTTCTGTAAAAGAAATGAAAAAGCGACCTAGAGTAGAATATGACTATCGCTTTGATACAAAAAATGAAATTGCGATTGTACGCTGGAAAGACAACAACGTTGTCACTATGGGTACCAATTTTGACAAAATTGAACCTGTAGGAAAAGTAAGGAGGTGGTGCAGTACAAGAAGACAAAAAGTAAATGTGAATATACCAGGACTATTCGTGAATTACAACAAAGGAATGGGTGGTGTAGATCAGATGGACCATATTCCATAAGTCTGTACCGAGTTTCGATAAGAGGAAAGAAGTGGTGGTGGGTAATATTTACCTATTTACTGGATATGTCTATCTCTAACGCTTGGAGACTGCATGTTTTACTGAGCAAATCAGCAGAAAATACGACTGTGACATACATGGACCAATTGTTCTTTCGAAGAAGCATTGCGCGCGCTTACCTGCAGCAAACAAAGTCTAAATCCCGTCCTTCAGGCTCAACAGTGGTTGGGTTAGACAAAAAAAAAATTACGGCTACAACCCACAGCGCATCCAAAATCCGCTGCGTTGTGCTGTATGTCACAGTCGCGTCCGATGGCGTTGCGAGACCTGCCTAAAACGTTATGCGTAGAGCGAAGTTGTTTCGGAGAATTTCACTCTTGATCCGCCCACTGTACTCGTCTGTGTACACTTATAAGTGCGATGTGACACAGTTATTTTTTAATTTTTTTCTTATAAGTGTTTTATATAGGTACTATTAAAGCAATAAAATATAATAACATGAAAAAAATAACAATAGTTTTATTTTGGGCGTTAATGGGTTAATACAATTTGTCAGTTTTATGGCGATATTTGAAAAATCGCGTGAAAATATAGTCGGCACAGCTCCATACTTCAACGAAACACGATATATCAATTAATTTAAGCCGTTAAATATGTGGAGGGAAAATCATGAATTGGAACATACGAATTTTCTTTCGGTTGCCGGTAGCTGGTCCATTGCCACTAAAACTTATTTATCTGATTAACGGGCTATGTTAGTTTCTTATATTCTTTTGTGTATATCCCTGTAACGGATTTTAACCCGCACAAAAATTTAGAGCAAAGCATCAACTAATTCGGACAATCCGCTTGCCAAGCGTAGTAACTATGGAAGGCATATATACTTTCTGCATATCTTACCAGGTCGTCACTCCATCTAGTGGTTTCGCCCTACACTTCGACCGGAGGGGGCTGCCACTCGAGAACCCTTTTTCCCCAACGGTTGTCGGTTCTTCGAGCTTATGGCCGGCCCATTGCCACTTCAGCTTAAAGTAATGTTTCAAAATAACTTTTATTACCATATTTTTGTGTCTAATAACAAATAAAATGTAACATTAAATTAGTTTTTACCTAAATAATAGTATTTTCAAAATAAATTATAACTGGCCAGTGTCTTATACACAGAAATTTTGTTTTGCTCATCTTTCTGCGTGGCTTGTACGTGATTTTGAAAGTGATACCCCCCCAATATATTTTATTACCCACCGATGGCATCCCATAGCATCCATACTATCCCACAGCATCCATACCATCTTATGTATGTCTACCGCTACTCAGGAATACACTTCACTTTATTGCTGTGTTGCGGTTTGAAAAGTACGAGAGGCAGTAAAATTACAGACCGTAAGGCTTTTCTTAGTACCTATAGGGGACAACTACATATAATAATCTTTTGGAGTAGGTAACTGGTGTTCATTAGATAAATGTTAGGTCACTCGTCACTCTAAAAAAATAGACTGCCGTAACATTAAACTTAGGTAATTGACTGTTTGATGGTTATATATTTAGATGTGCTCTATTGCGTAGATTGCGCTTAGCCAATGTAATTGTGTTGTGGGATGTTTCTTGGCTTGATAGTGCGATGATCTGTCGTAGAAAAAAAAAGGATAAAATATCGATTTAAGTGGTTTGGAGCCATGTAGGTTGAGGGTGTTAATTTTAAGGGGAGTTTTTTTTTGCTATGTAAAAATATCATAATAAAAAAGGTAACAGTTAGCGAATTAAACGCTAACGGTAGGTGATGGAAGGTTTGATTTGTCATTGTCGTCTGTCGTCATCATTGTCACTATACAGTCTGCTTGAATAGTTAGGTATTTAAGCTGTATTTGTTATTCGACATTTATATAAATTATATCTTATTACCAGACTGCACTACAAGTATCGGGAATGGAATATTTCCACTGTTCCTGTCATATTAAAATCTTTTTAATTGAAAACTCCTTGGTTTTAAAAATCGAATACCGCTGTCGTCCAAAAACTGCAGTCACCCAAGAAAACGTTGATGCTGTGCGTAAGCTGATTGAGGAAGATCGACATGTGACATACCGCGAAATTTAGGCAACTTTAGACATTGGCATGAGTCAAATACAAATAATCTTGCATGAAAAATTAGGTGTAAAAAGGTTGTTTTCCCGATGGATACCCCATTCGCTCTGTGAGGAGTAAAAAGCGGCTCGCGTTACTTGCTGCGTCAGAACTCTCTAAAGATCCCATGCAGGATCCTTAAAAGCTGTATACAACATCGTATCAGGTGACGAATCCTGGATATACGCGTACGAACCCGAAACAAAAAATCAGTCACGAGTTTGGGTGTTCGAAAATGAGTTAAAGCCAACAAAATTTGTTCGTTCACGGAGTGTTGCAAAAAAAATGGTGTCAACGTTTATCTCCAAAACCGGCCATGTTACGACTATTCCTCTTGAGGGACAAAGAACGGTTAATGCAGAACGGTATGCTAGCATTTGTTTGCCACAGGTCGTTTCTGAACTCCGTAAAGAGAACTGCAACCGCCGCATCATCCTCCATCACGACAATGCGAGTTCTCACACCGCACACAGAACAAAAAGAGTTTTTAGAGCAAGAAAACATAGAATTATTAGACCATCCGCCGTACAGCCCCGACCTAAGCTCTAATGATTTCTATACTTTCCCTAAAATAAAGAATAAATTGCGTGGACAGAGATTTTCATCACCTGAAGAAGCTGTGGACGCCTACAAAACGGCCATTTTGGAGACCCCAACTTCCGAATGGAATGGTTGCTTCAATGATTGGTTCCATCGTATGGAAAAATGTGTCAAATTTCGCGGAGAATACTTCGAAAAGCAATAAATTCATTTTTAAATAGTAATGTTGTGTCACTTCCTTGATTCCCGAAATTTTCAGTGCCGGCCGCGTATTAATAATACTTTTATTTCGATTATATTGTAAAAGGAAATATCGGTTATTTTTAGATTTTACTATTAATATTATTTTTTAACATATTTATAAAAATATACAATAACAAAAACGCTAAATATATCACGTCAAAAAATAGTCGTATACATGTTACATACGTTATATAAACTTAACTACAAAGGTGATTAAGCTCTTTCTAGGTTAATGAGCTCATTATAATTGGGCTTCCTAGAACGCTGAACTGGTAGCCTTGAATTAACATACTATTTACAGTGATTCAGCTTATTTTTTACAATCAGCACAAATTAAGTTTAGCCGATTGCCGCTTTAGTATTCTGTTTGCAGATAAGTTTGTTTTTCTTTTTACTGGTTGGAATTTTAAACGAACAGAGATTCCGAATGACGTATTTACAGGCTACAGTCTGTCTGACTGCTGATCAATGGCTACTGAAACATATTATGGACACCTAGAATACCAAGATAGCCACTTCCACCTCAATAACTAAGGCCACATTTTATTTTCTGTAATTGTCACGTCTATGCGTATAACAAACGCTTAATGGTTTGAAGTCACACCACTTGCACGCACTGCTGCATGACCGTAGAAATATGTAAAAACTATATTCCATGATAGGTCCACCTCAGGCTTATGTCATAATATAATTTTTTGGTGCCTACATTCAAAGACCCGTTGGACTTCATCATCATCATCATTGAAGCCCTTCACAAGTCCACCGCTGAGCATAGGCCTCCCCTAAGTAATGCCACAAAGCACGGTCCTGAGCCACCTGCATCCATCGACTTCCTCCATGTCTTACCAGGTCGTCACTCCATCTAGTGGGGGGTCGCCCTACACTACGCCTACCGGTACGAGGCTGCCACTCGAGAACCTTTCTTCCCCATCGGTTATCGGTTCTTCGAGCTATATGGCCGGCCCATTGCCACTTCAGCTTACTAATCCGTTGGGCTATGTCGGTCACTCTGGTTTTACTGCGGATATCCTCATTTCTGAGTCTATCACGCAGAGAAACTCCGAGCATAGCCCTCTCCATAGCTCGCTGAGCGACCTTAAGCGTCCTCATACGGCCAGCAGTGAAGGACCACGTCTCAGATCCGTAAGTCATCACTGGCAACACGCACTGGTTGTACAATCTAGTTTTTAGAGATTGAGGTATACCTGACGAAAAGATATGCCGTAATTTCCCGAACGCTGCCCAGCCGAGTTGAATCCGTCGATTGACCTCTCGGTCGAAGTTGGACTTACCTAGTCGGACTATTTGTCCCAGGTAAACGTATTCGTCAACAACTTCGAGCATAGTGCTCCCAACAACTACCGGCATAGGTGTGACATGGACATTGAACATGATCTTTGTTTTGTCCATGTTCATCTTAAGACCTATCCGTTGGGAGGCACTATTGAGGTCATTGAGCATAGTGCTTAAGTCCTCCAGCGATTCTGCCATAAGGACTATATCGTCGGCAAATCGAAGGTGAGTGATGTACTCGCCATTGATGTCAATACCGTATCCTTTCCAGTCCAGTAGCTTGAAAACGTCTTCCAATGCAGCGGTGAAGAGTTTCGGGGATATAACGTCACCCTGTCTTACATCTCTCTGCAGTTGGATAGGTTTCGAGCTCTGGTTCTGTACTCGGATAGCCATCGTAGCCCTACTGTACAAACACTTCAGCACTTCGATATACCGACAGTCAACTTGGCACCGCTGAAGGGACTGTAGCACCGCCCAAATTTCGACGGAATCAAAGGCTTTCTCATAGTCCACATACGCCAGGCAAAGTGGCAGATTGTACTCTTCAGTCTTCTGTAAAATCTGCCGCAGGGTATGTATGTGGTCTATGGTACTGAAGCCTTTTCGGAAACCGGCTTGTTCGGGAGGCTGGAAGTCGTCAAGTCTGCGTGCGAGACGATTCGTAATGACTCTCGAAAACAGCACGTAGACGCGGCTCAGAAGGGAAATCGGTCTGTAGTTCTTTAAGAGAGCGTTGTCGCCTTTCTTAAAGAACAAGACCACCGCACTTCTGCTCCACGCCTCTGGAGTAGTGCCACCATGGAGGACGGAATTGAAGAGCTTCTGAAGGACTTCAAGTACCGGTGTTCCACCCGCTTTCAGAAGCTCCGCTGTAATTCCATCCTCGCCTGGGGCCATGCCCTTTTTGACTTATTAATCGTATATTCTCATATTTATTATTATACTTTTTACTATACTTACATATGCGTGGGAACAATCAACGATAGTTATAATTGATGATCGATGTTTTGTTCAGACTGGCACGCTACGATACTAAAATACTTCGTTGAATGAACGTAATATTCAATGTAAATAACTTAATCAATAGCGTTGTTACGGTGGTTCACACGTAAACAACAACAACATCATTTAATATACCGCAAAAAGTGTAAAATTAAATCACATTATTCTTATACAAATAAATAAAGTACAGGTGGATGAGCTTAATTACGCTTGCAGTATTCGCTTTTACTTAATTTTTTCATTACATACTTACTACTTTGTTAAAATAATTTAAGTTAAACATTGGGTAAAATACATTACAACATTAATTTTTTTACCACAATTAGAAATACGTTATGTTTATCTAGATTTTAATGAAAATGTAATATAAAGCTTGACGTGATAACGTGTAATAAAGTGCATTCACGACCTTAGTTCATGAACGACATCATAGGGGCGACGATAAAACTCTTCAGATTAAGCAATTCAAATTGAAATATTTCAATCTGCGTGCTGCGTTACACGCGATAATTTTGTGTACAAAGTAAACTACGTCACAATTTATAGGTGAATAACCCGCGATAGTAAATATTCCTCGAATAATATGTTAAAGCAGATCATTATTTGTTTCAGGCTTGACCCTCCGATAACCCAATCACAGTTTGCGATGGAGAATAAGAAGGCAGCACCCGCTACGCAACAACCACTGACACAACAGCACCTTATGGCTCATCATGTACATGCAGACCAGATCTATTCACCGCAGCATACACAAATACCTCTCCATATGGCGACTCAAACGAGCCAGATTCAACCGAACAGTGTGATGCACCAACTTTTGCAAAGTCAGTACCACTCAAATATGAATGCCCGATCGCCACTTTTAGAAAACAGGCACGAGCTATATGGCACTGGATATAACAATGATTATGCAAGGCATTATGGGGCAAATGATAATTATAATTATCCTCAATCTCCCCCTAAACAAGAAAGAACTGAAATTCATACCGACCATAATATCAATCACGATATACTTCACAACATGCCTAAAGGATATAATGCGGAAGTATATCAGGATTATTTAAAACGTAACCCACCGAAAGATACCAATCAGATATACCAAAATCATCAACCTATGTACAGGCTTAATGCAAACCAATATAGTTCAAAACCATATCTTCCTTATTCGAATAGAATAGGACCGCAAAGTAATACAGAGTTGTTGAGGAGACAGTATAATGAAATACAACAGATGAAAATGCAGCAACAATTACACTACCAAAATCAGGCTCAAATGCATCAACAACAAAAGTTTGCTGAACGTCAATTGCTACTACAACAGATTCACGGCGTCCAGCCACCACCTAATTTACAGAATAGCATTTACTCTGATGGGTCTTTTAGGGACCTTGACCGATATGCAAGCAAAAATGATTTTAAAGATTATGAGTTACAAAAAGATGTTGAGGGCTACAGCAAGAATAATGAAACTCGAGAGTCTGAAAAACAGATAAGACAATACCAAGATCCAAACCAAGATACGCAAAGGCAGTTAAATCAGTCGGTTGATTTTAGAGAATCAGACCGATATAGAAAACAAGAAGATGAAAAAACAAATAATCGTACTCCATCTACTGATTTTAACAATCATTCACAAAAGAATAATGTAAACGTAGTATCACCTATGAAATCTAGTGACTCAAGCACTCCTAGCATAAAATCTCCATCATCTGAAAGTCGCAGAAGTAGTAGTGGTACTCAAGCACTTCGATCTCCAATCGCACAAAGAGTACCCTCTGCGCCTGTTGCTATGTCTGGTATATTGTACAAACAAGGCTCAGATGGTCTCAAAGTTTGGCGAAAAAGATGGTTCGTCTTGTCGGAATACTGCTTATTTTATTATAAAAGTAAGTTATTTGATTGGTAATTGATCCTTTAAATAATATCTACACTTAGGATCGATTTTTCAATCGTCAGATAAATTTTATCTTCGAATCCCTACTGAATATAAAAGAGAAACATACAAACTATTATACATGTGTAATTTTTAATTCGCTAATATTGTATTCATTGCTGATTAAAATCAAATCTTTTATTAATTTTTCTAAAATAACCTACATGTACAGGTAATTACAGCTCTAATAACATTCGTATTTTTAATAAATTATGTGCTTGTTTTTAGGTCAGGATGAAGAAAAGCTTTTGGGGTCGGTATTGTTACCATCCTATAAAGTATCTGCATGTACTGCCGAAGACAAAGTGATGCGAAAATTTGCATTTAAACTAGAACATGCGAATATGCGAACATATATTTTGGCTGCTTTGGACCAGGAAGCCATGACAAAATGGGTTAAATTATTGACTATGGCTGCCCTTATGCAAAATTCCAAGTAAGATTATTATTATACTAATTACTATTACTACTAATTACTAGTACTAACTACTATTAATTTCTTAACAGAAAAACCTGGCTTCGCTTTGGTGAAATCTATAAAAGGCGTCATTTAGATTTTTTAAATAAAAATAATCAGCAATGATCATCGTATCATTTTTTCATTGAAAAAAATCTCCAAATTTTCGCACAAAATATAGCTTAGACTACTCTTGACATTGCTCTCTATCTGTTGGTAATGTTTTATCACAATCGGTAAGCCATCACAAAGTTTAGTTCGGTCGGACAAAAATCTTACAAATAGTTATGACTGATCTCGATTAAAGCACCTGAGATTCCCCTGGCGTAACATAAAACATTAACATCAGGTGAGCCGTATGCTCGTTTGCTATAAATAAATGGTTGACCCTGCAGGCCATCCCTGGAACTTCCCGCTAATTTCAAATGTAAAGCGTTCCAAATTTCACCAAATTATGACGTTGAATTTGAAGTATCGGCGTAATTTAAAAAAATGAATTTTTTCAAAATTTTTCGTTAACGATATCTCACGAACGAATCAACCGATTATGTCTGGATCGACGTGGTTTTTCATGGTTAAAAGCTAATTAGTTTTTGGAATTAATCGGTAAAGCCGTTTAAAAGTTATTAAAAAAACAGTTTATTAAAAAATTATTATTGATATTTCTCAAAAATAAAATTTTTAGAATTAAACAATAAAAAGGTCCGAATTAGTTAAAATTCATAGGAAATTTAAGTTTGATGAAACACTGTGGAAATCAGTTTAGTTAATTTCTTTCGGTCAAACCGTTCAAAAGTTATAAGAGGTTTACATACATCCACACACTCACACATACAGACACCATCGAATAATTGTTAGGGTGGCTTCCTGTGACCTCAAAACATCAAGATTTGATTAAAACACAATTTTCGAAAAACGGAATAAAAACAATAACTTCCCGATTTTCGAAAATTTTCAATTTTCTTAGCGGGAAGTTAAAAATATTCCAGACAGACACTTACATTTTATTTATCTGTGTATAAATTTGAATATTGTGCAGTTACTGCTCCATGTTCGAAACGACACTAGGTCTCTTGGTTAGCGTATTTATATTTAAGTGGTACAGCGTTAGCCCTAGGTCAAATGCTAGCCGGATGTAATACTGATGTAAAAACCAAATTATCGGGTTTCGATCCTGAAATGTTATCATAATGCAAGAATTTTCAGTGATTAGTTTTTAAGAATGCGTAAGATGTTGCCGTGCTCTAAACCAGATGGACATCTTTATTATTATTAAATTATTCAAGAATATAGCAATATAAAATAGTGAAAAATTTATACACAATGATCGCTTTGCGGAACGAGCGCGAACCGGGACACACAAAACGGAACGAGGACCTGGCAAGAATCCGCGCCACGCGTAATTCGGTATTTTTTATTGTTTATTAAATAGTTAACGATCCTTGTTTCTATTTCAGTGACCAGCCGCAAAGGAATGATCGAATGACTGCGAAAAGTGAGGTTGGTATAATCGAGGGAACTTTGTGAATTTATAACGGAGTGGGCAATCGACAATTAGTCCGTTAGAGCGTAACCAAGGACAATGATTAAACCGTTGTTATAACTGAATATAATGACCGGCAGACATTTATGGTTCCGTGGTCAATTACCTTGGAAACATAAATTATTCTACATAAAAACAGATAATAATTAATTAATTTTGCAACTTTTAATTAGTGTACGATGACACATCTTGTAAAAATTTTAAAATTTTTTAGGATGGAGAAGAAGCAGGGCCTACTTACGCAAATGCCCCACCTAAACCTAGAAGGTCTAATGAAGGTTACAATTCACCTAGTCCAGATATGTAAGCACTCAAATTTTAATCAAATAAATTAAATTCGACAAGTGCCCTTAATTTACTATTTTGTAATATTACAGGTATGATCCTAACTATGATTTACTAAAAAACCCTGCTTCACATTATAGTCAAGACACTAATAATACTCGGTATCACGATTATAATAATTATCCTAATAGTCCGAATCAAGAGGCTACATACACACGATCGCCACAACCATCATTCAGTCAGCAACAAGCACAATATCAAACGAAAAGGCAATACGATACTCATAACCTTTCATTGCCATTGACAAACACTATAACGGAAAGACTTGAGAACAATCAATTTAATTCACCGTCGACGTATCAATCTAATCCTCAATCTCCTTACTTTGAAAATAGGAATAGAAATCAGCAGCAATATCAAGCGATTCATGATACGAAGACAAATAAAGACCAAATTTATGAACAACGAATGCAACGCAACCCGTTTCTGCAAGATGTTGTTCAACAAAACGAAACACCTGCCAGGGACGAAGATTTACAAAATAGAAGTAATACTTCAGTCACAGAACAAAGCTGTCCCAGTTCAGGTTACAACGAAAGTTATCCGGAGGCCCACACCGAAACTTCATCCAATGACAAAGATGTGTATGGAGAATCAAATAAACCGAGTAGATCAGGCAGTAATGTAAACGAACGACTAATAGAACGCCGAACTCCAGATGCTTATGGACGGGCATCGTCAGTCTCGACGTATGCTAAAGAAAAAGTTGATGATTATGAAGATCTTTATGCAATTGAAAACGAATACGGTAAAACATATGCTAAGTCACCGAAACAAAACCAAGCGCGGGATAATATTAGTATATCTAGTCATAAACAGGTACAAGATCAAAATTCTAAATCTGTAAGTCTATTTTTAAATTACGGCGTTTTTTTTTGTATATGTGTTTGCTTTTAATAAATTTTTTGCGTGATTTTAGCATCAAGAAAAGACCTTTAGTGGGCCTGCAGTATTAAGAAGGAAAAAAATGCAGTCAAGTGGAGTCCAACCTCCTATGCCACGGCCTCATAGTGCAGATTTTCTTGAATATGAATCCAAAAATGAAACATTAAATAAAACAGTTCCTGCAAGAGCCGTGTGTGATCCACCGCGCCAACCTCAGCGGCCTAAATCGAGCCTTGATATCAATTCATATTACGATCCAAGTTCAGACAGGTATTATTCGGAAGAAAGTTATGCAGAAAAAATGCGACAATCCGCCCAGTACTTGCAACAACAAGCTGCAGGATCTCGAAACATTCAAATTCCATTAGCTAAATATGCTAGTGGTTTAGCAGAGAAACAATTAAATTCAGCTTATTCACAATTTACAAATAACAACTATGAAAGTGAATATGGAATAAAAAGAAGTAGCCGAGATAATCTTAGCTACAATTCAAAATATAGTGATATCGAAGGCTTGAATGCTAATTGGACGTTGAAAGAGAAAGAAAAGGATTACTTAAACAGAAGCGGCAGTGTAATGAGTGATGGTTCAAACGTCAGTGGCTGCGTAAAGAATGTCAATAAATTTGATTCTAATGCTGATGGATTTATGAGATCAGCAAGTGCACGTTTACCATCATCTGCTACAGAAAGAGAAGGTGAAAAGAAAGTTCAACAGGTCTGTATCCTAAGTTTATAAAGTTAATACCGACTAGGTACTAGGTATTTTTATAGATATTTGGTATACATCTTATCTTACGTTATGATCATCACTACTCTGTTGAGATCTGAAGATTATGTCAGTAAAGTTAAAGATGAAAAAAAAGGTGTAAAAAAAGAGCCAGCAAACAGTTCACTTGTGAGCAAAAGCCTTCAGTACATAATATTTTGTACCAAATTGTGCTAGTAAATGTGCAAGCACAGGTGCACTCATAGAATATTATAATACATACACAATAGAACGGAGGAGTGGGCGGAGCCCGTGTAGCCACTAAAATGTCACTAACACCTCAATTCACACGCATAAATGTCAACACGAGATGTGTATTGACGTTACATTCGTTTCCAAATTTCTCATGCAAACTATTTAGAAAATGCCAAATTGCACGTTATTTACAAATAAATATGTATTAAAATCCGTCTGTCAACAGAGTGAATCGGGTTTGTAGTAGTGATTAACTGATGATACGACGTAATTGCTTGTGTGTGTTCTCCCGGCGACGCTTATCCTCGTAAAAATAAGTTTGACAGCCATTCTATTGTGTATTATAGTATTCTATGGGTGCACTCTCTATTACTTCACTCTCATAGTCCAATGGCATGGCAAACCGACACGACTGGAGAGAAATCTGGTGCTGGCCCAACGGCTTTACGTCCTTTTCGTGGTATGGGGGTGAAACACCGCCATATTCCTGACTGGGCCGCCACTGAGATTTTTTTAACAGAAAAACCCAATAAGTGATTTTGGCCCAACCAGAGACAACCCAGGACCTCATGATCAGCAACCGCGTTTACGACCAACAATTATATATTATAATCTTTATATTAATTATATATATTTATATAATAATATATATATATATATATATATATATATATATATATATATATATATATATATATATATATATATATATATCTATATACAAGGGTTATTTTATAATATACGGCCAAATTTATATAGAAGGTTTGAAATAAGTAATGTAGGCGAACGGTGAAGACAAATTAATTTAAAAAATCCCAATTTTTTTTTAAATTCATTATGCGTAATTTTAATTGATTGTCATTGAGAAATATCTAACGCCTGTGTCTTCCCGCTCCCTTATCTTCCGTTGACTGTGGTACAGACGAGCGCCGGGCCATCTCACTACCATTAAAATCACTATTTTCCTTACTAATATTATACATTTTTTATTATTTATAATATCGGAACCTAAAACACGCTATCAAAGTTTTGAAATACTGCGGTATATGTATAAAATAAGAAAATAAAAAAGGGTGCTATCCACCCCCTTTTTTTTTAAAAAAAAACCACCACCTTCTGGCTGTTGTTCTTTTATTTTAAAAATTTTTATATTTTTTTTCTTTTTTTTTTATTTTATTTTTTTCTTTTTTTTTAATTTTTGTAAGTATGACGGAACTATAATAATAAACTGCGAAAAATAAATAACGAAAGAATTCAAACCGCAAATACTAAGAGACTATGAAATGATGTGGTATTACATTTTAAGCAATTAAAGTTTACGTGGTGTGTAGAGATTATACGAAAATCTAATCGAAGAACACTTAACAGCTAATCAAACTGTTCAAGTGCAGTAAGCAATAATTTAAATAGTGAATATGAAGGTAGGTGGATTGCGCACACAGGCCCTATACTATGCAAACTTGCCGAAATTTTCACCGTTAGACTTTCATCTGAGGGATGAAATAAAGAGTCGTCTTTACGTCAAAGAGGCCCAAAAATGAAGACTTTAGTTTACACACAGTAATATATGATGAAGACTGCCACAGTAAAATTATTGCTATGCTCAAGGAAGATAAAAGTGCTCAAGCATAGGTAATAAGAGTAAAAAAGAGTAAATTTAAGAAAACTTTCTGGTCTATACTTAGAGAGCAATGGGTTATTTGAGATACTAATATTAGTTGTTGGGACTACTTGCGTAATTTAGTTGTGAATAGCTTATTATATATATATATATATAAAATATATAATTTTAATCCTAAGCCCGTAAAAAGTGTGAAAGGAAAATTGGAATCATAATTCGCGTCGTGTAGTTATTAAATTAAGCATTAGTAGTAAGCTTGACATTACAAAAGTAAACAGTAAAAAACAGTTGAGAGACGAAAACGTGAATTGAATCGCACACACAGGAGCGCGCATACACGTAGTTAATACCTATCAATCACATTTAATTTGGGATAATATATCAAATAAAAGTAGAAGCCTGATTTCCTCGTATTTTCAAAAACTGTTATATCGGTATATCATTATTTATATATTTGAACTTAAATATAAAATTTGGTTACTCTGAAGAATAACCCTGAATATTTTTCATAATTGCTATGCACTTTGGTGCTTAAGGGACCATATTTCGTATTTTCATTATAAGACGGTTGTATGCATTTATTTATACTGTTTTTACGATATAAAAAAATAAAACATTAACTTGTCTCGTCGTAAGTTCTTCTACTGCTGTTGTTGCCATGACGGAAAATTTACGCATAACTTTTTACAGCGAGAAGAATCCATGAAACGACTTTTGGAGTGGAAGCAAAGAATGCTTCAAAGTCCTTTGACTAGAAAAAGCACACCAGCGACTATATCTCTCGCACGATCTCTAAGCCACAGTCGACAGTCCTTGAGATCTGACCAGTACAAATCCAAAACTTACGCAAACGCATCATATAACAGCTATTCTTCAGACGATGAAGGTATGTACTATTTTATGCTGTTGACTTAGACAAATTTAAGTTCAGAATAGTTTCGCATGTGGTAATTGATCTATATTCAAAATATCTATGTAATAGAGAAAAAGTGATTTTGTAGTAAAATAATATGCAAAAAGCATGTCGTCTTTAAAATAAAATTATAATTTATGCATGAACAAAGATAACTATAAGATAATGGGGTTATCTTTGATATTATTTATTTTTCTAAAAATGGTCCCAAAATGATTTGTCCTATTTAGCAGTATTTTTTATTATATAAAATAACCGTAAATTTAACATAAGTAGTATATGAAATTAATTTATAATAATTATTTATTGTTAGTTTTAGTTGTATAATAATTAATATAACTTCAGTTTGATTTCGCGTTTGAAAAAATATTGAAAAATAAAAAGTGTCTTGTATATGTATTGTTATTAATATAAAAATGCCGTTAAGTAAAACCAGTTTATTTATTTCATTACATACTTTATTATATCACAGCATAATAATAGTTTATAATGACTTTGCTTTGTGGAAAGGTACCTTCCTGCCTGCCTGGGACTTAGTCACTAACAAGACGTAATATTGATTTAGTATTGGTGATGGGTTAAAAGTATTTTGTATTTGGTGGTTTATGTAAAGGTAGTTTGTCTTTCTAACCTCAAATCTAAAAGATCATTTTTACTAACTTATTAAAGTCGTGTATTAATGTTTAAAAATATATTATATATATTGCAACGATTAAGTAAAATAAAATTTTGTATCTCAGAGGAAACATCGGGCACTGATCTGCAAATGAGAAATACGCAGGCAGGAAGGTCTAATAGTGTGAAAGTTACGAGCCCCAATATTATGCAACCAATAAACCCGCACGCGCCCTTCATCGCTCAGTCTAATGAAAAAGTCTTAATTGAAGATGATAAAGATATTGTCAATGATAATACATATGAAAACATACTTTGTGATAACGTTTCAATAAAGCTAAACAATAATACAGACGAAAAAGATGACAGTTACATGCAAGTTAATCGAAGTGATTGCGAGCACGAAACAACAAAAGAAAATGAAGATATCAGTGGTTATGAAACACATGAAAGTGAAGCAGAATCGGAAACTTATATTGAATATACTGACAATGATTTGGATGAAGTATTACTAACATCTGATACAGAAATTAAAAACGCTGGAGATTGTGATTTAAATGAATGTGATAGAAAACAAAATGATAAAATTTTTACCGAAGAACAATTAAAGGAAAAATCTAGCACACCCCCAGTACGACCTTTTGGGGAAGAGCATTACCTTCCAATGAGTCCACGTAAAACGTCCATGTTAGAGCCTGCGCATAAAACAATAATTCAAAATTTAAGTGTTTTTGATCAAACAATGCCTCAAAGCTACGAAGATAATCCTTATGTTGAAATGAGTTTAGGTACCGATGAAGAAGATATGCAAACCTATGAAATTGTTTGTGTTAATAATGGTAAAGTGGAGCCAGTATACATGGAAGTGAAAAATGGAACTGTTGAAGAAAATGATTCGGAAAGTGTGATTCTTAGAGATAAATCTTTAACGGATACTGCATCAAATTTTGCTGATACAAAACAACAAACATTAAAAAGAGTTTCTAAGGGAGAAAAAACAAAAGAAAAATCTGACTGTTCGGACGCTGATGATGAAGTATCTAGAGACATGTCACTAGACATACCTTTTAATAGAATGAGTATTTCAGACACTTTTCGTCCAGCGTCGTACTACCTCAGCGGAAGTAGAACTATTTTATACACACAAAACAGTTCCGATAGTGAAGTTTATCCTCCACCTCCTATACCAAGTTCATCACCACCTTGTGAGGAACTATCCGACGAAGCTTTATCAAAATACATTTTAGATAAGTTAGACAAATCGGATATACCACAGGATAGTTCAATATTAAAAATGTTGACAAATGAGAATCAAAAAAAGATTAATGCTAAAAGAAGAACAACTTCGCTAATGATTTATGGAAGTCGAACTGCTATACACGATACTCTCACTAGGGGTGAAAAAATTCGTAATAGTAGGGCAAGTTTGGCAAATGAAACAAAAAAATCGAAAGAATTTCCATCAATTTTACAGGATAATTTTATATCTGAGCAAAATATTTGTAGTGGCATAGACACCGAATCCTTACAAAGCTATAACGCTGACAGGGGCTCTTCAAGATTATCATTAGAGTCTGATGTTAGCAGTAAGTTTGATATGATACCTTCAAACATGTCTTCAGAAGTAACTAGTGTTGGAAGTGATTCGATTGTAGATTTAAGTCATATGTGTACGTTAAGAGATATTGAAAATATGATCAAGAGGAGACCTCTTTCCGATGATTCACTTTTTGAGTTAAGTACATCAGAAAATAATAATCGCAATGATTCTGTAACTAATATAGACCTTGATAGATATTTAGGAAATTTGCAACCCCTTTCAAGTGACATTGCATGTGAGAATAATTATGAAAATTCCCACGTTAGAGATTCATCGCGTGGTTATCGTTTAGTCAACAATGATGATGCAGCTCATACACAAGTGCACACTGCCATACATCAGCGTTGTTCTAGTACCCCTATTAACCACCATTCTAGTTCCGAAGATAAAATTAATATTAGCACTCAATACAGAAAACTAGAAGAACATGTTTCTGGTTATATAGGATCACAAAGTTCTTGTAGTTCTGTTGGTTTAGCTAAGTCTCCAATATCTTTTTATTGCAAAAATAATGATGAACGAACGCTTTTAAGGAAAAACTTAAATAACGAACCTTCAACCAATAAGATAAAAGAATTTGAGAATGAAAAGTTTACACCTAAATGTGGAATTGACACTAACGCTTCATCAACATCCACTGGCTTCCACAGTAGAGAAAGTTCAACAGAACACAGTGCACCTTATTACTACTCAGATCTTTCATCACAGGAACATGTAAATGTATTACCTACTTCTCACTTCCTGAAAAATACTAACCTTCATCGAAAACTTAATAATCAAAGACGTAGAGGTCCATTACAGAAAAAAAATGAAATATCACATATCCATAACCCAATCCGAAGTAATCAAGTATTGATGTCTGATCCTTCTTTTGAATTAGCATCAACAGCGAGAAGCGTTTCAGTTGAATTCTTAAGTGCAGCTGACAAAGACTCAGATATTGACACAAAAAATATTTATGAATCTAATGGTGGAAAAAGTTCTAAAATACCTGAGTCGATGAATTTAATATCAAGCCTTGGTTGTAAAAGAAGTTCTAATCAAAATAACAATGACCAAAACTCGCCGCGAGATTTAAGTGGTTTAAATCGCGTTTCCTTAAACACAAGCTCAATACAGTTATCATCTGCTAGTATGTCTTCACATTGCAGTGGGAATTCATCAAATACTGTTTATTACGATGCAGAAGCAGAAGCAAGTGCATATGAAAATGTTTTATGTCAAGGTGAAAAGCACTGGGATGAGGATTCTTTATGGAGAGACAATTTGAGACGTGTATCACATCGACATGCTCGGTCTATGGACGACTTGGACACAGTACCAGCCGAACCACTATCAAATCGTTCTGGAATGGATTCATGTGGAATGCATAGTATCAAACGAATAAAGAGAAATGCTATTAATAAAATAAACCGGTATGCTACATATGTTAATTCAGAAATTCAAGAACAAATTCCGCGACGAAAAGATCATTATTCTGGCCTGCAATATATGTACTCAGAGGAGGGAGAAAAAGTGGATGATAATGACGTCTATGTAAGTTTAGCAGAAGATTCTGAACCATGTAACGAGCCATCCGATGAAGGTGTCTATGAACAATTAGCAGTTGGACCTATAGAAAATTCAAGTTTATTGTCCGAATCGGTAGTCCATAAATGTAAATCCCAAGAAAATAGTCGAAAACAGTTTGAGATTGATAGGGAAAAACTAAGACAGTGGGATTTAATGTCTAGTGGCTTAATGAAAGGACGAGCCGGAGGGGCGCAGGGTGTCGGAGTTGGTATGGTTGTGGGGGAAGTTTTAACGGACATCAGGACAGACAATACAAGCAATGAAGGTATCCTATAACAATCTAAGGTCACATAAGATATCTATGTAAGTTACATTCATATTACAATTATTAGCAAAGCAAGTCATTAAAACACGTTGTAAATAATTTGGCATTTTTATGTGTAATTTGGATATAATAATTAATGTTGTTTTATTTTTTTGTAAATTACTTCATCTTTATGATGGGTTTAAACAAGATAAGGTGTAAATCAAAAGTGTGTGCATGAAATTTTTAACATTGATTGAGATGTGTAAATAAATAGGAAACTAATGAAAATAATATACTAATATGCATCCTGTGCACACTTTATCATGTTTATAAATACCATCCTTTTAAGTTAAATTGAAAAAAAAAATGAATTAAATCCATTAAAGCTAGTCTATATGTGATTTCTAAAACTGTGTAATTTTAAGTTTTTTTTTTTTTATTTTAGCTTCCACGACAATGCCCGCAACAAATCTGGAAACATCTAACAATAATAACTCAACTCAACAAACATTGTCAAAGAAAGCTTTTCTCGGAAGCAATACTTCAATTGGCAGAAGCAATAGGGATGCTAATATACCAGTTCGCGCTGTAAGTCCTAGGGTGAGATGGGTGGAGGAAAAACAATCAAATGATCATTACAGCGCCCAACAGATGTCAAATTCGCAGCAAAATGTAAATATGCCTCTTGAAAGTTGCCGTTAGCTTTTCAATTGAAGTATATATTTAATAAATTCATACTGTTTTAGTTACATGCGTTAAATACAGCACAAAATTCATGGGTGACTGCAAGATCACCATCAAGGACATTACAACAACCTATCAGTGCAGTTAGTCCTCGTGTTCGAAGGAACGTAGACAATGATGATTTGGTTTGTACTCTGCCACAGTATTTTTTCTTAGACATGTACAACCTTGTTGATCGTAGGAACCTATGTAGCTTGTTAGTCTTATTTGTTATTTTTTGTGTTTCGGTTTTGTCTTCTGTTTTTATGCTTTATATGTTGTCAATATCAGCAATGGGACCTGCAGCCAATAGGTCAAGGTGACCAACTAAGTAAAAACCCAACGGCTGGAGAACTCTTGGGTAGAACTCATGAAGAATTGGTCTTGCTATTGATACAATTGAGGAGACGACATGCAGCGACACATCGTTCAATTGAGCAATGCTGTGCACAAATTAGTAGTATAGAGGTGCTTTTTTATTTTTTTATTCTTTTTATTTATCATATAATAAATAAAATTGCTTCTATTGTTATTTATTCGTGTAGAATTGTGCCTTTGTGCTATTTTGAGTGTTTTAATATAATAAGTGTTTAATGCCAAGAACAAAGGAAACATATTTTAAAATATATTTCCTTTGATTGATTGACAATTGAGGTAGGGCGGGAGGTGCTCTTCAATCCAGGTAAGACACATCATTGTAATTAGTTAGCGGAAGGTTGCAAAGTAATTAATTATTTATTATATAATGGATTTCCGCAAAGTAACGCCTGATTCTATCAATTATTTTAAAAGTGGTTCTTTTTTATAAATAATATAATTAAAATTTACAGGATTGTCTCAGTTCCCTAAAGGCAATGGAGCGTGAAGAAAGCTTGCAACGTTTGAATCAATTGAAGAAGCAACTAATGGATTTAGAACACCAATATGAAAAAAGCAAGCCTTTGGTACAGCTGGTCGATAATATGGTTAAATTAGGATCACTTTATAACAGACCTGGATCTACGATTGAACGTTTAGAAAGAAATCAAAAATTAAGACAGAAAGTGCTAGCGGAGCACGCACTAGAACAACAAAGGTAATAATTGAGATGCACGTATAGCAATAGATATTAGTCTATTTAATATTGAAAGCAGTCACTTTAGGAATTGCATTGTTCAAAGGCGAAGCGTTCGACTACATTGGTTCGCAACGGGTCGCGTATGACTTGAGTCACGGCGCTTGCCCATCGTTTTTTCCTCTTATCCCATCCTCGTCGCCAAATATTGTGTATTTATGGGGATTTCACCACTAAAACACAAATTGAATTCATACCTTTTATTTATTGACAACAACTGTCAAATCTTAGTTTTTTCATAAGCCTACAATATGGCTTCATACTCTACAGAGATATATTTTGACTGCCTCGTTGGTCTAGTGCTTGTGCTTGTGTAGTAGTGCGACTGCTGATCATCAGGTCCTGGGTTCGAATCCCGGGTCGGGTCAAAAAATTAATTATTGAGTTTTTCTGTCAAGAAATTCTCAGTAGTTGCACGGAGTCAGGAAGTTGGCGGTGTCTCACCCCTGTGCCTCGGAAAGCACGTAAAGCCGTTGGTCCTGCGCCTGATCTCTCTCCGGTCGTGTCGGTTTACCGTCCCATTGGATTATGAGAGTGACGGAATAGAGAGTGCACCTGTGCTTGCGCATACACTTGGGCACTATAATCCTGTCCTGCGCCGATGGCTAGTCTCCGTTGCTGCAGGCTGCCGTGGCCGAAATTCGGTCTGAAGGACATTAAAATATATAATAAATATCATAAAAAATATAATTAATAGTAATAGTTAATTAGAAACTGTCGAAAATTGTTTTAAGGTGGTTGGAAAGTGCAGCTGCTGGAAAGACCTTGGAAACCGAAGCCGCAAGAGCCAGAGTTGCTGAACTATGGGCTTTAGAACAGGAACTAGCAGATGAGGCAGCCATATTGCAAGGACTGAAGACTGATAAAGATACGATTGATACTTTATTAAGAGGTAAATCATTAAAATTAAGATCATAACCTTTTTTCGTTTTATTTGTAAAAGTTTTATTTTGGTTAAAATTGTCAAATCCTTAAATTTTCTCAAAATGCATCTGTATTTTTTTACTTTTACTTGTATCTTAAAACCTTGCAGAGAATAAATTATATATCTCTACCAAGTAAGAGATGGCTTATGATACCCTCAGTCACCTGATGAGTTCCTTTGTTACATTTTGCTTTGATAAAAAGGAAATGCATAATGGATAAATTTGTTTAGTATCCAAACTTAACGTGCAGATGGGGCTCTAGCGTCCAATTGATGATGGAATACTCATAAAAATATCGAATCCTAATTCAAGTGACTTGTGATAAGGTGTAGCGTTATCATTGGTTTATACCCTGCTCTGCCCATTCGATCTGCCTAATTCGATGAGAATGGAAAACTGTTTCCGGAAATGGATACTAGTTGGCTCATTTTTTCAAACGTCTATATTCAGTAGTAGACTTTATTAGGAGAGAGAGGTTAATGAATTTTATTTTACAGGAGTACGCAGTCGATTAGATAACGCACCGAGGGAGGAAATACGTACCCAAAACAGTGGCGGTGGACTAGAAGCGGAACTTGCGCGCGTGCACGCCATGTTGGCGCACAATTCTAAGGTTTATAAGGTTTTCGTCTCTATCTTGCACTTGTATTTTAGTTTTAATTAATTACTTATAGTCCTCGTTTTAATATAATTGACTTAATTAGTTCCTTTAAATTTAATTTCTATTATTGTTTGCACTGCATGGCAATTAAATTTAATTGTTAATATTCACACATTGACACTTTCTAGAGATTCACGATATCAGGCTTAGCTTTAAAAGTTCTGCGTTTTTAATTTAAAATGACAAAAGTCTGACGTAGGAAATTAATTAAACTTTGTTATGAAAATTTTCTTCCATGTGTAGATAATGTTTATATTTTCTCTGTGTTTTACAAAAGATTTTAAACGATTTGTTTTTCACAAATTTGTTGATTGATTTAACATCAGTGTTTTTTTTTCTATACCATGAAACGCCGACATTTAACCGGATAAATATGTTAAGAGCAATAAGCTTACTGGTACGGGTGCGATCCAGTGTAACGTTGCTGATGATATCAGCATTAGTTAAAGCGTCATAATATTATAGTCTAAATATCGGACGTGGACGGAGTGTCTGAACGACATAAGTAGCAAAAACTTCTAAGTCCAAGAACACTCAGAAATGAGAGGAGTCCTGTGCACAACAGTAGAAAGTGTATGGGTTGTTACTAACTTTTTTTAAACATGAATGACTAAATATCCTCAGATTGTGTTCATGTATTTAATTACATGTAATTTACAATACAGAACTTTTCAAAATATTACAATTAACGCATTGTGATTTGTGTGCATTGTATTTTCTTGCTCCTTCTCGTAACCTGATTTTAAATCAAAAAAATGCCGGTAATGTAACTTTCTGCAAGTGAAGCGATTTAAAAATTAGACGTGCTTTATTTAGATTCATAGAATTTGCTTATAAAACTAACAACATCATTAAGTGATTGAAGTCAGAAAAGTAAAGTACTGCACAGGACGGAATAAGGGACGGAATAAGTCTGCAATATAGGAGCAATTAGTTCGCGTTGCTTCATTGCTTGTCAGCGGACTTCACGCTTCTTCGATTTTTTATTCCTTTGACATAAGTACAGGTCTTTCTTCATGATTTTTTCTTTTACTACCAAGCACATGATATATATATATATATATATATATATATATATATATATATATATATATATATATTCCCCTCAATGGTTTTTGATGAAATTTTGTGTTTGTGATTAAGTTGATTTGAGATTGAACGCGCGATAGGTGGCACTGTTGCCGCGATCCATAAATCACTGGTTCGAAGCCGGGGCTGATCGTAAATTGCAATTTGATCGCAAAAACCGACGTGACAAACGTACTAACAGTCCACCTGATGGTTAGTTACTACTGCAGTTTATTGACTCCAGCAGGCCGGCAGACACTTATAAACAAAGAAGGCTACAGAAGCGTTGTCACCTTTGAGGACGAAGATGAAATGCCTTCGAACCTGTAATCATACTAGCTATTACCGTCACCACTAGCGTTACGTTAGTAAACTTGATATTTAGAGATAAAGTTTTATACGTAGTAGAGCCACGCTGTAGCTATATTATGGTATTAGCACGAATGGGTCGGACCACGCTCTCACAGAACACCAGCGTAAAATAGCAGCTCAATACTGCTGTATTTCGTATGGTGAGTGAAATGAGACATTCCATCTTAGTCCTTAGAAGTAAGAACGCATCTGCGTTTTGATTCTTAATCGAGGATAAATGTAGACGTCTATGGGCCACCGCATGCATTTACCATCAGGTGGACTTTGTGCTCGTTTGTCACCCGTATTCTATAAAAAAAGCCAGTACATTCCCCTTACATTTCATCGTTTAACGCACAGAAATTGGAGCAAACTGTAGCGGACAACGCTCGTCTGGAGCGCGAATTGCAGCAACTGCGCCGTGCGCTACAGGCGCGCCGGGCCAGCGCGCATGCGCACGCGCCGCACACCGCGCGTCCCACCGCGCTGCTGGAGGATGGTACGTGCACGCAATAATAATATGAGCCGAGTGTCAAAAGACGTAACTTACAAAATCTCAATTTAGATGTGATAATATTTAAATATTGATATTATTCACACTTCTAGGTCAGAACATATGTTTTGTTTTTTTTTGTTTCTTAAATAATATTGTCTGTGGTTCCTATAAACATCGTAAAATCTTACGGTACATCGCGAAAAATGTGTTATATTTTATATTTCAATTTATGGTAAGTAACGCAGCAATTCACTTCATAACAGTTTCATATTAAAAAAAAATCAAGCATCGGTGACAGCGACCAGTGTCAACGGAAACCAGCCATTTGCGCAGGATGGAATAAAAGTTTCCAAGTGTATGCGCAAGCACACTGGTGCGCTTTATTTAATCACTTTCTTAGTCCGATCGGACGGTAATACGACACGACCGAAGAGAAATTACGCGCTGGACCAACATCTTTACGCGCTTTCCGAGGCACGGGGGTGAAACATCGCTAACTTCCATCCGGGCTGCTAGTGAGAATTTCTTGACAGAAAACTCAATGACTGGCCCGATCCGGAATATAAACCGGGGGCCTCATGATCAAATATGGTATTTACAACCACTACACCAACAAGGCAGTATGAACACATATTATAGTATGATGCTTGATAATCACGTACGTTATATTAAGCATTGACTAACTGCTTTACGTGGTAGAGCCATGCTGCAGTTATATTAGTAGTATAGTTGTAGCACGAATGGGTCGGCTCGACCGGGGAAGGACCACACTCTCACAGAATACCAGGGTAATACAGTAGCTTAATGCTGTTGTGTTTCGTATGGTCAGTGTAGAGAACCGCAGACCCATTTTACTGGAAACGAGGCATTTCATCTAAGTTCTCACGGATGACAATGCATCTGCATTTTGATTCGTAATCGAGGATAAATGTAGATGTCTATGGGCCACAGCAACCATTTACCATCAGGTGGACTGTGTGCTTGTTTGTCATCCTATCCTATAAAAAAACAGTCTTCGCAAGTTATGTACATCAAAATCTCGGAATCCGATCTGGCAGTGGAATTTATGATGGAGATACAAATCCGAGTTCTTACATTATAAGTTTATAAAAGAATGTTCTCGATCAACTCACCTTTATCCGTGACGTCCCTTACAACACCTACAGAAAGGTATATATATATAATAATATTCCACAACTATCACACAACGCCATCTAGTCCCAAGCTAAGCAGAGCTTGTGTTATGGGTACTAGACAACTGATAAACATACTTATATATTTCTAAATACATAAATATTATAGATAAATTACACCCAGACACAGAACAAATGATCATACTAATCACACAAACATTTGTCCTGGGTGGGAATCGAACCCACGACCTCCGGCATAGCAGTCAGGGTCACTAACCACTAGACCAACAGGCCTGTCAAATATGGTATATATGGTATATATATAATTATATATATATATATATATATATATATATATATATATATATATATATATATATATGCATTTTTGATAGTCTTACATCGCCATTACATGTTGGCCTTACACCACCATTATACGGTAGTTATATGTTATTTACTGAAATTCCTTATAACATCTTTTAGTATTACTGCGGTAAGTGTGATATATTGTTAATTATTAAATCTTTTAAATGAAGCAATTTACTCTTCCAGAGGTATCCCGCGTGCAACAGTTAGTGTCAGCGTTACAGCGGCAGAGACAAGAACTATCGCGGGCCGTCCGCCATCTTACTCAGCAGTCGCGCGCGTTGCAGACTACTCACGACTCTATGCCTGGTAAAACATATTGTAATACTCATCATAGATAACATTGGGCACTTGATATACACAGTTTTTATTGAATGAAATGTAATGGATACTTAACAAATGAATGAACTATTCATCATCATCATCATCATCATCACAGCCCTTCACAAGTCCACTGCTGAACATAGGCCTCCCCCAAGTAATGCCACAAAGCACGGTCCTGAGCCACCTGCATCCATCGACTTCCTGCATATCTTACCAGGTCGTCACTCCATCTACGCCGCTCCATGGTCGCCCTACACTACGCCTACCGGTACGAGGCTGCCACTCGAGAACCTTTCTTCCCCATCGGTTATCGGTTCTTCGAGCTATATGGCCGGCCCATTGCCACTTCAGCTTACTAATCCGTTGGGCTATGTCGGTCACTCTGGTTTTACTGCGGATATCCTCATTTCTGAGTCTATCACGCAGAGAAACTCCGAGCATAGCCCTCTCCATAGCTCGCTGAGCGACCTTGAGCGTCCTCATACGGCCAGCAGTGAAGGACCACGTCTCTGATCCGTAAGTTCCTGGCAACACGCACTGGTTGTACACTTTAGTTTTCAATGAACTATTATTATTGACAAATTCGTAGAATTAGGTATAGGAGGATTGTAGCTAAGTTTCGCAAGCCTCATAATGATCAACATTATTACGATCAGCACAAGTACACTGCTGAAGATAAGTCTCCCCAAGGAATGCTCGTTATTGAGCGACCTGCATCCGTCGAATTCCTGTATCTCTTACCAAGTCATCAATCAAGTAGAGGAGCCGGCCTATACTTCACTTGCCGGTACGAGAGTGCCAGTCTATAACTTTTCTTTCGATATTGCAAGCCTCATCGTACGAGAAACCCAAAATTGTTTGTACTACTCTCTTTATAACATGCGTGATGATCGGCGAAGTCTGAATCCGAATTGTAGTAATTTTTAACTTGCCATTTAACTTGTCTGAAGCTGAATTGTAGACATTTTTAATTTGTCATTAATTTAAATTATTCTTAGAGTAAGGAAAACCTTAATGGATTTTTTTTTAAATTGTTTTGAAGGTAAACGCCGCTCTACTACATCCTGGCAAGAAACGAACTTAGATACGGGGCACACAACTGACCACGGGCAATCGGATTATGATTATGAAACTACCTCATTAGTTCCCCCGGGGCATTATGAAAGGAGCCATGTAGATGTACCACTGTATGTGGACACGCGGGGTCCCGGGGCTGATGTCACTTCACCTCTCACTAGTGAAGATATGCAGCACAATGCTTTTAGTAAGTTGCTATATTCTTAATAAAGAGCTGTGGTAGCTCAGATGGTTAACGCTCGCTGTACATATAATAGAACGCGAGTAACCCGGGTTCGATCCCCGCTGGCAGCAAAGAAATTGTTAATTGCAATTTTAAGTGCTGATTTACCACGTGCTTGGCGGTGAAGGAAAACATCGTGAGGACAGCTGCATGTCTGAGGAATAGGAAAAAAAATATTTCGAAGACATGTGAAGTTCGCCAACACGCATTGGGGCAGCGCGGCGGACACTTCCTTGCCCTCTCAGAAATGAGGGGAGGCCTGTGCCCAGCAGTGGGACGTATGTTGGCTGTAACTTTACTCTACTTTATATTCTTAATACTAATGTTTGATTTTTTTCTAAGGTTAAAGTTGGCAGCTAGTGGAAGTGTATTCTAAAAATATAAAAAATTATCGTGATGTATTTCAATATCCATTGTTTTTAATTTATATTCACGTACTACTTTATAACTTGTTATGTCTCACGAATCACATCTCACAAATCTAGCCATACATTTCACTGTCGCCACCTGTGTATATTTAATATCTCTTACTAACACGACGTAGACTTCTAAATACACTGGAATCACCGCCAGCCTTAGTAGTACATCAAATTTTTTTTAATTAATTTTACATTTATTGTTTTTCAGGTAACTTATCCAACGTTGAGAAGCAAGAAATAAAAACGGTCCGAATCGTAAAACGAGAAAGTGAAAGACGTCAGAGAGATAGGGAGCGTTCACTTCAGCCAATGTCCGATTGGCCCGGTAACAATATCACTGCCAACCTCGACCAATTTCTAGAAGAGGAATTGGTCCAACCTATTAATTATACCAGAGCTTCGTCCTTACCGCGAACTGATTACAGCAAATACGACGACTATTACACAAAATCACAAAACGTAGACCCACCGAACTATCTGCGATTGAACGATAAGAACATGGAACTCAGTCCCAAATACCCTTCCAGCCCCTCACTCTCCAACTACGATTACTCCCGTGACGTATCTTCCGTGAGTAGTAGCTACCACAAAAGCTACGATAGATCTGGTTATGACCGCACGATATCACTGTCTACTCAATATTTGAACAGTCCGACCGACAGCTCTCGAACCTTAACCAACGACCCTTTATCGAAAACTAGTAGCATCGTAAGTCTTACAAGATCCAATATGGAGCTGTCCCCCATATTCAAAAGCGAGGCCGCCAAGCAGATTATCACAGAGATGTCTGGTGACGGACACAAAAATGGCTCTATGCATAGGAGGAAAGTGCCTAAAGAGAAGAGGCGTCATTACACCGCTCCACATCACTTAAGTGCCAAGACTTTAAATGAAATGCCAAAGGACGTATTCAATCAAGATGTAAGTTAATATTTACATTTATATTCTTAAAGCCTATTTTTATTCTAAATTAGGTCATGTCATTAACTTCTGGTATCCAAAGGAAAATATTGCAATATCCGTTTTAAGTGGTAGAACTAAGCTGCAGCTATTATGGTTGTAGCATGAATGGGTCGGCTCGACCGGGGAAGGACCACGCTCTCACAGAATACCAGCGTAAAATAGCAGCTTAATGCTGCTGTGTTTCGTATGCTGAGTGTAGAGAACCGGAGGCCAGTTTTACTGGAATCAAGGCATTCCACCTTAGTCCTCAAGGGTGACAACGCATCTGCATTTTGATTCTTAATCGAGGTTAACCCCTCAGTCCCGTTAAAATTCTCATGCAGTCGCATGCGCCCGCTAAATCCCGAGCGGCACCTACCCGCAGCACTTAAAACCATTAAAACTTATATTTGGAGACTACTTTTCTATGAAAAAATTTGGCTCTTCTCTTATCACACAATTTCTCACCCTGTCACTCAGATTCCGCCCTAACATACTCCTTAACGACCGCATTTCTACTGCGTTTATTCTACTCTCGTGCTTCTTCTGCCACACCCAACTTTCACTACCATACGTTAAAGTAGGGACCAACACATCATTGTGAATTGCCATACGTATTTGATATCGTGAGATATAAAATATATTTTGGGATATAACATATATTATATCCCACAGTAAAAAGCCAGGTTTAGGCTGTGTTCCGAAATGTATCCCCGGTATACTGGCGAAAGCAAATGACGTCATTTATTGACACCATATCGTATTGGAGTGCCGCCGCCATATTTTGTCGGATGTCCCGCCATATTAAAACACTTTACACATATATGATTCATTAAATATTATAATTTAGATATCATCATATATTTTATTATATTATTTTAATATATTAATTGTATATATTTATGTATGCAATTTATTAAAATTATATTATCGACAATACGGCGCAAATGTATGATGTCATATACTGGCCAATGTTTTAAAACAAATCACCATACTGGGTCCTATTTCGGAACATAAGCTTAATATCAGGTGGACTTTACGTTCGTTTGTTACTTCAGTTTTATAAAAAAAATCTCTGATTGAATAAAATCGAGTGTATTAAAACATCTCAAACTTACTACAAATATACTTTTATTGTATGTACAAATTAGAAGAAACACGTTAACAACTTAGTAGTCGACAATTACATAATGCTTATGATTCTAGAATAATATTTAAAAAAATGTATCTTCGTTACGAGTCCACCACCACATCCATAATGCGTTATTTTCTAGCGCTTTGATAGACTGCGCTACTGATTTGATACTGGAAACGATTTTTCATTAAATCACCCATCAGTCGAAGTGTGTTCTGGGAGCGGCCTACGCTCCATTTGTTAGTAATATAAGCCAGATTATAACCACAAATTTGTATTTAGATTAAGGATAGGTAAAACAAATCCACCTGATGGATTGCCTCAGAACTTCCAGTAGTTCCAAAAAAATAACTAATTATTCTGCCCCTAACATACTACTAATATAACTGCAGCATGGCTCTACCACGTATAATAAGTGGTTCAGAAAACTTACTAATGCGATTAGACTATGGTTGTTCGCTCACTTTGTCCTATGACATTTTCGGCTCCGATAGAATAACAGTGCTGCGGCAATAACGCCGTAGCGTCATGCTAAGTTAGTATTGATTTGGTTGCTGCAATTAAATACTTGTATAACTAAGTCAAAACCTGTTAATATTAATAAAATATCGCATTGTAACCTTGAATTACGTGCTAATCGCGCCATCAAAAGTGTGTATAAGTTAAGTTTTACTTGTCTGTGTTCATAACACAAGAAAATATAAGTGCTTTCGTATCAGTAAAGGAATCATCAAGCAGGGCTATCTAATTCCATAAAACTTTTTTCGCGTGGTTTTTGGTGCTCCTGTAATATTGGTTATATAGATAGAAAATTTATTTGCCAAAAAATATGATAAGTACATAAGATAGTCAAAGATGTGGAGACATGTTTCGCCATAATTGGCATGCAAAAATTAAATTAAGTACAATTAAATATTACATTTTTAAATTATTTTGCCATTATTTAAAAATTATGTATAAATAATCTTGTTAAAGTTAATTATGTACAATTAAATACCTTCTTGTACAAATTTACTTAAATGCAAATAAATCTTGAAAAATGTTCATAAATTATTAATTAAATTATTACATCATTAATATTAAACATTATATGACATTAGTTAAGCTATTATCATTTCAATAATTATATTACAATATAAATTAATTCAATTACCTTTTTTTCAATTTATCATATCGAAAAATATTGACACAACTGGCAGCTTCTTGTCTATGTTTTCTAATGATTTAAACATTAATGTAGGTAGTAAGTCGATACCTCCAGATTTGTTATTATTTAAAAATTTAACTATATAAATCATTTCTTGTTTAGAACATTACAATAAGAATAAACGGCTATATACAATTTACGTAACGTAACATACGTTGTACGTTGTATTAACGTAACGTTGCAGTGGCCTACGATATTATTTTGTTTACTATAAAATTTAGAAAATAATTATTGAAGGCTGTAGCGATTTTATAAGGATTATCGATATTTTTATTATTTAATATTATCTTATTAATTTCATTATATTGTTTCATTATATCAGGATTATCATTGATTATATCCCAGGCTGCTTTGCATTTATTTTTAGCGTTTGTAATTATTCTATTATTGTCTATTCTCTTCGAATCGTTGATTGTTCGTTCACACGTTCGTTCAATAGTTCTTAATAATTTAGTGTATTTTTTTAATCTAAGCTTATTTTCAAAAGTTTTATCTCTATAGTAAAATGACCTGAGTTTATGTTTAATTATAATAGTTTGAAGTAGACATTGATTCGTAGTGTTGCAATTTTGTGTACTAAATGTTTGCACACGTAAACTATTATTGGAAACGATGAAATAAATGCTTCGATGGTGATGTGAACCTTAATATAATATTATGTCTGCTTAGGTGCTTTGAGATACTATCAACATCGACTATCTGCTGTTGAAATCTTCTTAAAACTTCATTATATGACGTATGAATAAGTAATTAGATTTAGAAAAGAAATTATTACAAAGAATAACGTAATTACGTGGTAGAGTCATATAGTAGCTATGTAGTAATTGGAGTACAAATGGGTCGGTTCGACCAAGCAAGGACTAGCGTGGTTCACAGAATACTAGATAAAATAGCAGCTTAATGTTTCGTATGATGAGTGTAGAGAGACTGAGAACTATTTTACTTCTATCTTAGTTCTCGGTAGTGACAACGCATCTGCATTTTGATACTTAATCGAGGATAAATGTAGATGTCTACAGGCCACAGCATCCACTTACTTTAATCCTTATTCTATTTTAAAAATATGTCATATATTTGACGCTGGCAAAAGTACAACAATACGAGACTGTTACTAAAGAAAAAAACAACATTCGTGTGCAGGCGACGAGCCGGTCGTTGGACGACGCGGACATGGAGCGCGCACTGCGCGGCGGCGCGCCGGACGTCGTGCGCTCCGCGCTCCCCGCACTCCCCGCGCGCCGCGGACCAGACTCCATCGACCAGCTGCTCGCCGCGCCGCAGAAGATACTCATCCCCGAGCGGTACATCCCCGAGAAGGTACTTACCTTTACCGTTACGTCGCAGTGCTGTACTATAGTTGTGTTTTATTAGCAGCAGGCAACGAGCTGCGTACTTGTGTTACGGTGCAGCTATATTATAGCAGCAGAAGAGTGGGTGAGCAAGACAACAAGCAATATTTATACGTGGTAGAGCCATACTGCAGTTATATTAGTAGTATAGTTGTAGCACGAATGAGTCGGCTCGACCGGGGAAGGAGGCACGCTCTCATAAAATACCAGCGTAAAATTAGTAGCTTAATACGTATGGTGAGTGTGGCATCTGCATTTTGATTCGTAATCGAAGATAGATGTCTATGGGCCACTGGAACCACTTACTATCAGGTGGACTGTGTACTCGTTTGTCTCCAACATTTTGTAAAAAAAAACACGTGATATTGCCATGTCGTTGATTGATACACGAGTAAACTGTAGTACTTATAGGTTTATTCGATTCCAATAAGCATAATATGTAGAAATTAAGATGTCGATACAGAAAGATAATAGAAAGTGCTGGAAGCGTTCGTTTTACGTCGCTGTTCAATATTGAGTGTCGCCCCTGGAGTTCACGCGGATCTCGCCAGCGGTCAAAAGGATTTTCAAGGTAGAAGTGGGCGTTGAATCAATAAACTGTTTTTTTTTTTAAACAGCTTTTCATTCATCAATGTGTTAACTGTTATTCATTAATGAAAAAATAGGTTGAAAATATTAGCTTTCAATTTACGTCAACGCACTCAACGCATTTTTTTGAATATTATTTTATTCAATTCTGTGAATTTAGTCTCCTTCAGAAATATTCGTTACTTCCGGAGACACGTCAACACATCGGACGCGGTCTTGTGCGTGAGTGTGTGAGCGTGAGCGAGTAAAGAAAGTTAATTTATTATTTCTTAAGATTTTGTTTTTAGTGTGTGTAAACAATCCGTTCGTTCGTTCAAGGCTAAAATCCGTTGCGATTCTTTTGTTTGCGTTACGCGGTCGAGGACAAGTGTTTTTAAGTGCAGTTTATTTTGTAAGTTTTTAAGTTTAAGTTTTACTGGTTGGAATTTTACGTAAATATTGTTTTATGACAAAGCTTGGACATTATGTCAGTGGCACGTAGTAACACAACTTTACACTGCCAAAGACAAATAGACAATATAAAACAAATTGTGACTCACTTAAAAAAAGCTCACAGAGAAAGACTAAGACGCTAGCAGACAAAGACTTGTCGACGATTACTTTGGAAGAATGAAATAAAATAAAAATGGATTAGAATATCTGATACAACCAACAGTTATGTCAGGTATTGGAACCATTCGAAGAGTGGCCATAAATAATTGACGGCGTGTTATCTTATAATAATGACACGTTGCCTGATAGAATCTTATAAGAAAATATGAGAGAAAGGAAATCTAACATCAAATGTCCACGATATAGTTTCATTATTGAAATCAGGTTTATCAGACAGATTCAAAGGGATAGAGCAATGTGGCACATTTAGTTTGTGTACTTTCTTGGACCCTTGATTTAAGATGCAGGGATTTGCAGACCACGCTGAACCTGTCAAAACAAAAGATAAGGTACGAATGCTCGTCGCCACCGAATTATCCAAAATTGATGCTGCAACACTGGCCCAAACTTCAAATTAAAATGAATTGACAAGAACTAGAATGAATTCAGTCCACGGAATTTTTTGATCAATTAATATGGGCACCTCCCACCACAGGCACTCCGTTATCAAAAGCCATAAAAGAAGTGGACATATATTTGGCCGACGACATATTACTAAGAACAAATATTGGTGACTGGAAGAATTCTTTGGAATGATGGAGAACTCACAATATTATATCCAAACTTAGCCAAAATTTACATAGAAAAATGTACTACGACTAGCAACATCAGAGCCATGCGAAAGAACGTTCTCCAAATCGGGGCTAATTGTAAATCAAAGAAGAGTAAGACTAACAACCTGCAAAATAGAGAAACTGCTATTTTGAAATGTAAACTTAGACGGAGGCCGTTTTGCAAGTTGAGATTTAATATGTAATTGTAAATAGAACAAAGGAAAAAAACACAAAAAAATTATGGATAATGTATATACCCAGCCAGTCCTAAGCCTGGAAAAAGTACGAAGAAATGGTTATTCCAGTTCAATAAACATAAAAGTAATTTTAGATACAAATTTATTCTTATCAAATCAATAATCTTTAACTTAATTTGCAACAAAATTGTTATTGATCGAAAACGTTGAAATATTAAATTGACGATTAACGCTAACAATTGAAGTTTCAAAACCTGTTATTTATTAATAATAATCACGTTGATTAACAGTTAAATTACATTAAGCAAAAAACCGTCAATAACCCATGCTTAGGACGTCTCAAATGCGCGGGCGTAGGCACGGTGCAAGGTCTTCCTATGTTTACAAGACGTCGCGAACCTTGTACCTGTACTATAGCTGCAGGGGAAATAGATTGGCACGGCAACAAGCTTGTGGTTATGCCACATTGTAAGTGTACTATAGATGCAGGGGGATTGAGCGGGCAAGGCAATAAGCTACGTGGTTGTGCCATGCTACAGCTGTAGGGGGAGTGGATGAGCAAAGCAACAAGAATCTTGGTAGTGCCTTGCTGCAGCTGTACTTTAGCAGCAGTAGGACTTTTTCAACCGGAAATATTATTCAAACACAAACTGTTGGCTTTTGCATCTTGATTGGTATTATCTCGTTCCAAGTCTGATTCCAATCGTATTGTATTAGTGTTAAGTCGATAGATTAAGGCGACGTAAATGTGCTTTTTTATGAGCTTAAACTTGTGACACTATAAAATGTTTTTAGTAGTAATTTTTACACATCTTTGAGAAATATTTAAAGCAGTAAAACTCTTTCTTTTAAGCAAAGAAATCACACATCAACTTCCCGTTATAAAACGCCCCAAGAGAACCAGCTGAGAATAGAATACTTGAAATCTAAAACTTTAGAAAATAGTATCAACTAACTTTGAGAAATGTTTGTGTAGCTTCGTCTTGATTTTACACCATTTGTAGTACATAAATTAATAAAAAAACGTCCTTTTTGAACAGCCACCAGAATTGTCACCAGAAGAACAACAAAAGCGACAGGAAAAAGTAGAGTCTATAAAGAAAATGCTAACCGATTCCACTGCAGACTCCAGCAAGGTTAGTATCAAATATGTGTCTTCAATTATTTGATGAAGATGAATAAAATTGTATACTGTTATATCTTCTTAATAAAGACAGTTTACTAAAATATTTCTGTTTTATCAATCGTCTTTATTTTACACAATATTAAAAGCATTAAACATCGAAAGTCATTAGATCATCATTAACGTCTTTTTCTCTTTTAAATTTAAGTTAAAATCTTTTCCAACTTTGATATCATTAAAATATAAAAATTTTATCTATTTAAATACCATAAAGACCAAAACAAAAGACATTTTTGCAACAATGTCTTTATCAATTTACTTGTCCGAAATTCTTGTAGTTTCATTATTCCTTCATTGCATCTTGTATTAGTTAGTTTTAGCTTTTACTGTCGTTCTACAAATGCATGTCTCTCAGTTTTAAATCTTCTCGTTTTAGAATTAAAAAAATACCTAGAGCATTAATGTTTGTAGATGCAATTATATTGCCTTAAGAACCTGTAAGTTGTTGCATAATATTCTGATAAAATTAATTAAATTAGGAATTTTAGCCCTATTTTTTAAATTTCACATACATTAAATTAGATCAAATTTAAAGGCAATAAATAAACATAACATAAGATTTTTTGAGTAATATTTAAAAATTAAAACGGCGTAGTTAACAATGGGCTTACAACCAATTAATAAATAATTTAAATTGATAAATGTTATAAAACAATATTATGTATGTTTATAATATTGTATCTACAAACACCAGCAAGCTTGGAAATAGCAGCTTCGAATGTTGGCTGTAAATACATTACTGGCACAGTCATACATGTGTGTGCTTTATTGTGACGATCGTTAGAGCCCGGACGGCGAAGAGAAGAGGCAACGCAAACATTTGCTCCAGATGAACCAGATACTAGCCAAGCAGGTCACCGAGATGAGCAAAATTATCGCTGGTGAGATCACCTACATATTAGTTATGCTAAAGTATTTACTCCGTGTGATTTGTTGTAGATTTGTATTTACCTGATGTATTAAAAGCTTCTAGTGCATATATTGGGTGCGTTTAGCAGAAAAAAGCGCTAGCAAGCGCTTGTAAGCAAAATGGCGATCGTAAGCGGTAAGCGCTGTCAAATCGTAAGTAGCTATTTTCCTCTAGGACACGAAGTTAGTTTTAATCGGGGAACCTAACCTAATTTAAATATATGTTTGTAAAGTATTCATATTAAAAACTTACCAATCATGAATTTTTAATAACATGTATATGTCTATTCGTGTCATTTCGTATATTACTTAAAACTAATATTGCAGAAAACAACTTATAAACACTAGCGATTGTGCCAGCGTTACTGAAGTTAGCAAAAGTGTCCTGGCCGAAAACTGTTTAGTTTCGCCATTTTGCTTACAAGCGCGTGCTAGCGCTTTTTTCTGCCAAACGCACCCATGATTGATGTATTTTGTTTACAACTTTAAAACACGTTTGCCAAACATAAATGACAAGTCTGAATATATAATGTAGAAATCATTCATCACATATATATTCTACGCACACAAAAATCTAGGCACCTTTAAAGTCCAACTGATAAAATCTTATTACTTTCCATGTAAAGTATACATGATATCATATGTTGATGAAATTTATCACTGACGCAAGAAAGGAAGGTAACCAGCGTGATCGTTCAAATAGAATGATAAATGTTTCTAAACAGAATATAATTTTCAACTTCGGTCCTCATAGTGATGCTCGATGTTATTTTGAATATTATTTATTAGGTAATATCGTTTACAGCCAAGTTACTATCAATGCATGTTACTACGTTTAGTATAAAGTTACACTTTTTCCAACTCTATTTGATGTTCGATTTCTTTGCCTGAATTGTTATTGTTATTTCAAAAATAACAATACAAACGTTAAGCATAGTTCTTACAATTTGTGAAAATTTTAATATGTGAAGAAAAATCAAGTTTTTATAAAGCATTTTATTTTATTCATTTCCATTATCAAATAAGTAACTTTTGAATTGTACGCGTAGCAGATTCTTGCATGTCTTTTTCCTTAAATCCACTTATATCAGTTTTTCTTGCGAAGAAATTTGATTATACTTAGATTTGCATGTTACGGATGTTTAAGTAAATATTATATGTTTGTGTATGTGTGTGTGCGAGTGCTTTTTTTACTTTTAAATTCATTTAAAATTAATATAATTTATACACTCAAATATCAGTCAATTTGGCACGAAGTTGTTTATTTTTAATTTTATTATTAGAATACTTGTTGTTAGAAAGATATCAGTCGTTTTGTTAATGACATGAGTAAATTGCAGTGTCTTTGATCAAAATTCATAATTTCTGACAACAAGAGCATGTGACTAACAATCACGTGTGTCCACGCATGTAACGTTAATTTGCTTTATGTCGTTTGTCACGTTTTTCTGCAGGAAGCAACACTGAGCAAGGACCGCCCAACGCACATAACTGATTGGCCATTCACCCATAAATTACACCATCAGCAGCTTCATTTAATATAAAAGAAAAAGCTAATTCACCAAATATAATACCTTTAATTTTAATTGTTTGGTGTATGCTAGATCCATATATTTATAAGCAAATTGGCCCTTACCTGGGTGGTCCTTTGAAGATGCCCTCGTACGCGTGTCGCAGCATGGTTTCCTTTTATTCATTTCGTTGTGAGTAGTTTTTTGTTGTTGTTTTCATACATTTTATATTAAGTTTAATTATTACACTATCTTACCAAACATTTTTCATTATTAGTGAGAGCACTAGAAGAACTGCCACTTCAAGACAATACAGAGGACTTGGACGATCGCTCTCCTGATGTAGAGTTGCCAATTTATCAACAAAGAGACAATTTCTTCACTTGAATTTGGATGCCTCCTTTAGGAATTTACTTCACCTATTTCCCCATGTAATCGTTGGACGCTTAAGGTCATGCTATACCGCGAGATTTATTACAAAAAATACTTCGCTATTATAGTAGCGTATGTAAATTTTCATTTAAAGTACTTTATAAATATTGCGAATGTGAACTGGTGATTTTCATCAAAATCTGCATATCTTAGATGTTCCAAAGTATTTTGTGGTGTAGTTGTCATTAAGGTAAAAAATAATATCATACAGTTATTAACGTTCTATGCCTGTTATTTTGTCAAGATGAAAAGCTCTTCGAGATGATGTTTGTCGATGTTTATATAGTATTAAATGTGTCATATTACATATTGTGTAACATTACTGTTTTCGATTTATAAAGTACTTATGTAGTAAAATATGTGTATAAATATAACTGATAAAATAATCACAAAGATTGTATTAAGATTTTTTTACAGGTTTTAGTATACGTTTTGCAATAAGGTGTGAAAATTAATGTCACGTTCACTAACAGACCATTAGAGTGAAATATTTTTAAGTTTTAAAAATCTCAATGTTATTTGGATATTTTTGTTATACGATAGAACACAATTCGTGATGCGAAAATGAAAAGGTTGACTACCAGCAAGGATAAGTCAAATTAAATTTTATTTTAGACTGTTGTCTAATGAAATTAGCAAGGCGTAGTGTTGCCGTTGGTATTAACTCTCGTATTAATGTTGCTTCTTTGTAACATATCAATGTTATATAATCCTTTATTTATAAGTAAAATCTATCTATTAAAGTGTCTTTTTAATAACTACTTTTTCCAGTGCTTGGTCACTGGCCAGTCAAAGAACATTCCCACACCAGTCACTTCGTTTAATGTTACTTTATGGAAAAGTATTTATTTGACTTATTTGTAATTTTGATACGAGATAATTGATTCTTAGGCCAGTTTGTATTTATAGTAGGTATTTATATAAAATTTTCTATGTAAAGGGCCTTCATTTGTTATTAGATATAAGTAAAATAGGATTCTAAGTTTTGACGATGCCATGTTATTAAATATTGAATAAGTATATTAACAATAGATAAGTGTTTATTTGGAGCATTTATCATTTAAAGTTGAATAGATAATGCGTTCTAGTATTCGTTAAAGGTTTTTATATTTAATTGTAAAATAATTTCTATGATTTATGTAATGTGTACATTAGATATATTACAATTATTTAGTTTCTGTACAAATTCTCAGGTAAAGTTTATATAGATTGTCAATTGTAGGTACTTAACAAAATCTCTTATGAACTACATAGAAATATAAAATTAAAAATGTCATGACCGCTTCACGTGTTCGGAGGAAGCACAGAAATGTTAACTTTTGTGATATATCTGCTCCTACATATATACACACAAATGCTAAATGGACTTGTATAATTAATTCACAAACAATGTTCCACACAATCGTTACACGTAGTAGTGTAGATGTTTATTATTATCAATGCCTATTAAAGCTTTAATATATTTTACATTTTGTAACTATGAATATTATATATACCTAGTAATAAATGAAATAAAAAATTGTAAATTACATCTGTCTCGCTTTTAGTAAATTGAATTATAAGTATAAGACAAACTGACTTGTCGATGTAATGCTTATGAAACATAATTTATTTACGAGTATAGCACACCTCGCAGAAATGGTAAGATATTTTATTAATCATAACTCAAATATAATTAATCAAAATAGTGATCCATTTGCAGTGTTATTTACCTTTTTAATTTTGATCTTACCACTAAAAAGAAATAAAACGCAAACGTATTGCACATAGGGAAATTATATTCAGTTTACTCAGAAGTATTGCATCGATAAGAAAGGCGATTGACCCTATACGATTAGAATAAATCTACTTAAATTTAAGTAACAGCCTAACTACATACATCTCGTAAATGGACACAGACATTTTCCCATTACTGAGGGTTTTTAGGAAAGAAGAGTTCGCACGTCTGCCTAAATTAGTTTTGAAGTTATTTCGTATGCCTTCGAAATAATTCAGTTTTTTAGCATGCAGGTTTTCTGAACACGTTTTCCTTCACCGCACAGGTAGTAAATTAACACTTAAAATTGCGATTCAATGGTGCTGGAATGGACGTAATGCGGGGGATGCTTGTGTGCTATGAAATTTAAGAAATTTATGGCGTGTGCCCAGCCTTTGGCTATTAAGGCCCTTTCTCTCCTTTATCTACTGGATTTAAAAAAAAATCTGAATCTCCTTTTCAAGATATCTATTGTATTAGAATGTATAGACTGAATTATTTTTGCCTTATACTACTCCCTAGCAGATTCCTGAATTGGTATCTAGATAGGTAGTCAATTATTTATCTATATTCTATCCTAAAATACATAGATACTATATATTAATTTGTTTATAATATTTTTAAATCTTCATGTCAAGTGAGATATTCATTTGTTTATAACATTGAGCAGTTTTTAGCTTCTGAGTTACGTAAACTAAATTTTATCAGGTTTTGACGTATAAAATTAACTTCTAGTAACGTTTTATAATAAGAATGTATGTTTATTTTTCATAAAAATAAATTAAAAGAAATTTTTTAGATCACTGAGACAGCGATACATAGCTTTGGTATGATAGTTATTTGAATTTGGAATTCTTCGTCTTTATTTTTTGTCGGTTTGCGGTAGAGCAACCTAATAAAAATATTTTTTAATGTAATTAAAAATTCATTTATAATTTTTCATTTCGTATACGTGGTAGAGGCGCGCTGCAGCTATGTTAAGGTTCAGCGCGACCGGGGAAAGACTACACTCTCACAGAATATCAGCGTAAAAAGCAGCTTAACGCTGCTGTGTTGTGTATGGTGAGTGTAGAGATCCGGAGACGTTTACTACTGGAAACTAGGCATTCCATCTTAGTCACCAGGGGTGACAACGCATCTGCGTTTTGATTCTTAATCGAGAATAAATGTAGATATCTATGGGCCACAGCATCCACCAACCATCAGGTGGACTGTGTGCTGGTTTGTCACCCTTATACTATATAAATATCTTTTTTTAACTTATAAGTTACTGTTGATTATAACTATAGCTAAAACACCTCCTAAAATTAACTATACGGTAATACTATTATATCTACCTATATCTATATTTATTATATTCTAGTTCAAATTATTACTCCAATCAACAGACACTGAATTATAAATTCATCTAACACTATAATACATACAATAATAAATATGTGACTGAAGCCGCAGTCAATTCGTAATAAAAACTGGCCAAGTGCGTGTCGGGTCGCGCACAATGTTGACGTAGGGTTCCGTAGTTGCCCGTCACAATACATCTTGCTCCCTGCCTATCCCGCAAATGAAAAAGTAAAGCTATAGTAGTAATGCATATAAGTCATTTACTTCATTAAATTTTTGTTTCTATACAGTTTACAATAACATTACATAGTTATAATGCAGCTAGTTTTAGGTCATTTTCTATGGAGTTGTAACGAAATTTTTACTAATCCAAGTGCATTTTATAAGTTGCTCGATCATTACTCGTTAACTTGTTAATTCTACTTAGCTATGATTGTTTTCCTTTAAACTTCAATATATATATATATATATATATATATATATATATATATATATATATATAATAAAAAAAAAATATAAAAAATATATATAAATATATATATATATATATATATATATATATATATATATATATATATACTTTTCATATTTCCAAAAAACGGCTTTGTTGGTAGGGGGGGGGGGGCACATGACTAATGAAAAATACCACTTTAAAGCTAAATATTTCGCAAACGGACCCCTAAATCGAAAAAGATGTTGTTTCCCCTTTGTACCATACTCCCAATGTTTTTGAAAAACCTATCCAACAATACCCCACATGATAGAATAGACAGGTAAAAAAAAACTTTCTCCATTTACCTGTATCGGAGGTACTCAAAATAAAAATGTATTTTTTTTAAGATTTCACAGTTTTGTGGGCGTGATTAATATCTATAACTACGCCAAATTACAGATTCGTACGTACGTACGGGCATATGTACATACGAACGGACCTTGTTATGTAACTACGGAACCCTAAAAGGGGTTTTAGAAAAAGTTATTCTCTTCATTTACAATTCACTTCATATAGGTACTATAAAATTTTCATTTTCAAATAATTGTGTTTATGTTATTATACAATATTAGCGAAACCGCTTTAGAGGATATCAGTGACAAAGACACGTGCAGATGAATTATACATGTAAAGATTAAAGTTATACTTATTAATCGACAAATTTTTCTTAATTTTACGATATGATAGTATCAATTTGAGATTTCATATTTCGTCATAATATGTTTTGAATCGAGTTTTTTATGAGCTTAAATTACAATCATCTTTTTATCTGTTTATACGTTTATGATACATATTTATATTTAATACCATAATGACTATACTGTAACACTATATTGACTTATGCATTGAGTTGTTGTGTAATTACAGGGAATTGTGTATATTATTTAACCTCTAATACTATTCTATATACACTATACAAAACCACTAAGAGCGTGTACAATGTTGATAACGGCTGAATTAATAAACGTGCTACGTACTACAGATTTGTCTTCCTTTATTTCATATTTGTATTCCTTGCCTTAAGTACCTTAAATGAGACACATTATTATTATTAAGTACATACTTCACGTTGGACATGGACTGATGCCCGATGGCCATAGTAATACCTATAAAAGTATGACTTCAAATAGATTTTATGTTGAATCAAGTTTCTTTAACGTTAGAGTGATAAAGGCGTTAAGAGTTTTTTTCGATTCGATTTTTCCGGACCGATACTACCTAGGCACCTTCAAGAAAAGAGCTTACTCCTTTCTAAAGGGCCGGCAACGCACCTGCAATTCCCCTGGTGTTGCGGTTGATCATGGGCGGCGGTAGTCACTTAACATCAGGTGAGCCGCATGCTCGTTTGCCCCTTCTTCTATA